AGGTATTGCAAATTAAATCGTATGCAAATTAAGGTATTGAAAACTAAATCGTATGCAAATTAAGGTATTGCAAACTAAATCGTATGCAAATTAAAATATTGCAAACTAAATTGTATGCAAATTAAGGTATTGCAAACTAAATCGTATGCAAATTAAGGTATTGCAAATTAAATCGTATGCAAATTAAGGTATTGAAAACTAAATCGTATGCAAATTAAGGTATTGAAAACTAAATCGTATGCAAATTAAAATATTGCAAACTAAATCGTATGCAAATTAAGGTATTGCAAACTAAATCGTATGCAAATTAAAATATTGCAAACTAAATTGTATGCAAATTAAGGTATTGCAAATTAAGGTATTGCAAACTAAATCGTATGCAAATTAAGGTATTGCAAATTAAATCGTATGCAAATTAAGGTATTGAAAACTAAATCGTATGCAAATTAAGGTATTGCAAACTAAATCGTATGCAAATTAAAGTATTGCAAACTAAATCGTATGCAAATTAAGGTATTGCAAACTAAATTGTATGCAAATTAAGGTATTGCAAACTAAATCGTATGCAAATTAAGGTATTGCAAATTAAATCGTATGCAAATTAAGGTATTGAAAACTAAATCGTATGCAAATTAAAATATTGCAAACTAAATTGTATGCAAATTAAGGTATTGCAAACTAAATCGTATGCAAATTAAGGTATTGCAAATTAAATCGTATGCAAATTAAGGTATTGAAAACTAAATCGTATGCAAATTAAAATATTGCAAACTAAATTGTATGCAAATTAAGGTATTGCAAACTAAATCGTATGCAAATTAAGGTATTGCAAATTAAATCGTATGCAAATTAAGGTATTGAAAACTAAATCGTATGCAAATTAAAATATTGCAAACTAAATTGTATGCAAATTAAGGTATTGCAAACTAAATCGTATGCAAATTAAGGTATTGCAAATTAAATCGTATGCAAATTAAGGTATTGAAAACTAAATCGTATGCAAATTAAAATATTGCAAACTAAATTGTATGCAAATTAAGGTATTGCAAACTAAATCGTATGCAAATTAAGGTATTGTAAATTAAATCGTATGCAAATTAAAATATTTCAAATTAAAGTATTGCAAATTAAATGGTACAATTCTATTTTGTGCATCTCGGTTGGACAATTTTCCATCTCTCCGGAAATATTTTGGAACAGTAATTATTTTTCCTTCGACAATTTTTCGCGACATTTTTCTTCGCGATATGCAAAACACGCGAAACTTCTTTCCCATTCTAACGACTCGCATAATCACGGCACAAAACGTTACGAAGGATGATAAAAATTCCTCGCGATTTCTTCGCGACTCGTAAATTTGCAATTTCGTAACGGGAAAATTGCAGTGTACGAACATTGTCCAGTATCGTTGGGCAAATGGTCCTCCGCTTTCGAATGGAACGACGAGGATCGGTGCTCGATGGACATTACCACGGAGCGAAATTTCGTTTACGGAGCAACGACATGGTAATAAGAAAAACTGCATCTTTCGAGCTACTTATCGTGTGCGGATGTATGTAATCGCGCGAGTCTCAATTATCCCAGTGTGGCCACCTGTTAACCACATTCCACGATAAAGCTACATTTTAGCATTCGGCCGGCACGCTGTTGCACGAGAGCAGCGATAGTCGACTTCCGGTACACGCGGCTGGCACGCGACTCGTGTGTCGCAGAACACTGCGAAGTGAAAATTTTCAGGACCGTGTATTGTTGGAATTTTCAGTCATTTTTATTTTTCTGCGTTCCTTTACCGTAGTCTCGTGTATAGAATAGTATATTTTTGGGGACTTCCGTTTCATTTTGGAGAAAATGTTTCCTAGGCTTTGATAAGTTTGTGTGTTTGGAAATAGATTTATTGGAATTTACAGCAGAGTTAGCGAGATGATTGTAAATTAATTACGTGTTATTTTATTACTACATTTTAATATTATTACTATATCTTTTATTTTTCTTTTTATTTTTCTGCATTCGTTTCTGGTAGCTTCGTGTATGGAATAGTATATTTTTAGGAAATTTTGTTTCATTTTGGAGAAAATGTTTCCTTGAATTTGATAAGTTTGTGTGTATAGAAATAGATTCATTTCAACTGAAGATGAACTTAAGATTCTTAAGAAACAGATTACAGCATTGTGTGACTACTTAGATACCATGTAACATTTGTTTGAAACATTTGTTTGTACAATAAATAATTTACGAGTTATTTTAAGTCGTCATGTTAGAAGACACACCCTGTATATTATTATTATTACTATATTCTGTTAATTGTAATATATAACTATTATTATATTATAGTAATAAATTCTTGACTTCCTATAAATAAATTTATGATTTGGAAAATAAATGTATTAGGATTTATAGAATATATTATTACATTGCTATATTAATAATAATTTCTTATATACCTACTGTATGTATTATATGAAAGATCGTTGTATTCAAAGACTATATTTTCTTAAAGTTTAATACCGTTATTTCAGTAAATGTTTTAATTTGATAAATTTTTGTTTCTACAAATAAATCCAGTTAGAGTTATGAAATACTAAATGGAAAAATTATGAATAAATCCTGAATTAAAAGTAGCTTATATTAATTAGTAGAACTTCTATCTCCTATAATATAGTACTTACTATTATTATTATATTAGATACTTCTTTACTCTTTATTACATAATTCATATTAAAGTAATTTTTCTTCCTTTCGTGAAAGAGTGGTTTTTAATCATTTTCACAATACCTCAGAATTTTAAATATTATTTAATATTATCCTAATCCAATGTTAACAAAAAAGACTATTTAATAATTAATATACAAACTAAATAAATATTCGAACTTCAAAAATTATTTATTAATATCACGACCAGTGTGAATTTTTCTTTACCAGATATAACATACAATCAAACATTATTGCATTAAAATATTTTTATCCTGACACCATTTCAAATTCCCCATATTCAACTATATGTAAACTAATATTTTGAGTATTAACTACAAACAGATTATAATATTAACTACTTGTTAATTACAAGCCTTATATATGATCCTATAATCATACATTATTATCCATATTCCAACATACAAAATTCTAAATCTATCTAAAAACGTAATTTTCACCCATTTGGTTCTTCTCCGCCTCTCCTGACCAGTTATGTACCTAACTCTGGCACACCTAGCCATTAAAACAGTCATAAAGCAAGAGTTAATAAACCTTGTACGTTTAAATTTGTACGAACCTTATACGTCTTCAAAACAAAGTAATTACGGGTGAAATTGAATTTACAAAAGATACACGATACGTCAAATCCGAAGGAAAAAAATTCCCTAGACTTCCCTAGAGTTCGCGTCCACGACGTCAGACATCGCGGATATTATTCGCGATTTTCTGAATAGCTTTTGTAAATGTCGTTTTTTATTATACCGCGATAATATTCAATTTTCCATGCTGCATAGTAAACGAAGCGAAAAAGGATATTTCAACACCAGTGCCAAACTGATTGCGAAAATTTGTTTCAGCGAGTATTTGAGACCGCACATTGTAACGTTTACGTAACACGAATGCATTTGAAAAGAAAAAGATGAATACACGATTTCCTTTACACTCGTTTACTACACTCCAAACAAACTCGTTACGTTTATAACCAATGTTTTACAATCTGCTGCAAAACTGCAGAAAATTTAACCACCCCTTAATAACTTCTTCGACCAACTTCATGCACGTTGCAAGGTTCAAATATGTTTCGGTAATTAAAAGTGTTTCGATATTTCGAAATTTCTTGCCACGTTTAAACCTGTCAAATTTGTTGAGATATTTCGGTATTTCAAAATTTGGATTCTATTTCGAAATATTTATATGTGGTAAATTTACAGAGATTTGCAATTTACTAAGACTATTATAGGAATACTATAATACTATAATAGTATAATAATTCTATAATACTATAATACTATAATAATATAATATAATATAATATAGAATGTGGTAAAGTTACAGAGATTTGCAATTTATTAGGAATACTATAAGAATACTATAATGCTATAATATATGCAATAATATAGTATATAATACTATAATACTATAATACTATAATAATATAATATAATATAATATAAAATGTGATAAAGTTACAAAGATTTGCAATTTATTAGGAATACTATAAGAATACTATAATACTATAATACTATAATACTATAAAAATACTATATCTCAAAATTTACTACGATTTTAAAATATTTCGAGTTCCTTGGAATATCGCGATATTTCGAAATGTATTAGATATTCAAAAATTCCAAATTTATCCTAATATTTCCATACTTTGAAGCTTATTAGAAACATTTCCAAATTTATCGCAATTTTAAAAAAAAAAATTTGTATAAACATTGCAATACTTCGGAATTTATTACGATCTTTAAATACATCGATATAGAAATATTTCGCTATTGAAAAATTGATAAGAGGTATCTCGAAATTGACTGCAATCTTTAATCAAACGTATCAAATTGATCAAAGTATCTCAATATTCGTAAGATACCTCGATGATTCTAAATTCACACCGACGTTTGAGCATCGAAAATCTAACGAGACACGCGAATATTCGAAAACATCCTAACCTCGCGGACATCTGGTAAAATAAATTCAACATCGATTCGTCACGATCGTGGAACAAAGCGTCAGTGGCGAACGATCCTCGAGCTCGCGGCGCGACAAATCGCATGGCTCGAGCGTTATCGCCACAACGCGAGATAGGAACTCGGCGTCTGACTTTCAGTTGAGGATACAGAGCCCAGCACGACGCGATAACGATCGATAAATGTTCCCGATAATCGCGAAACGGATCTCGATCCCATGGAAAGGCCAATCCGTTGCGTAACGCCGAACTATCAACCGGTTACGGCCGCCTGGCTATCGCCTCGAACGATTTTCACGCCCGCGTATTCCATGAATGCGTGCTTCATAAACGTACTCACGTGTTGCTTGGATTCTAGATCCCGATGAGAAACCTCACACGACTTCCTTAACCGGCGTTTTTCCTTGGCAAGAAGGCAAATAGACTGGCTCGAGCTACCAACAACTTGCAATTCACATCCTCGACCTAACCTCACCAGAGAGAAATCCTTCCTCGATCAGCAATCCACCTTCGATTATTCCAGCCTCTGCTCTTACGTTATTTACCTCTACACGAACACTGGTAATCTCGAGGGTGATAATGATTTATCAACGGATCTTGCAGTCTCAGCTGCTGTCATGCGGTTTGATTTATTAACCGACGATAGAGATGATCCCGGTGCTCGCAGCTCACTGCAATCTTCGAGTGCTTCTGTTTCCACCAACGTTCTATCCCGACTGCCAATTCAACGATTAATCCTATCCTTATCGCGTCCTGGTGATCCCTGCACGCCAGTCTAGGGATAACTAGGCTCACGCGAGTAACGCTCTGTCACCGTTTTAGGGTAGAACCTTGCGACGAGATCCTTGAGATGCGATCGAGGAGTACAATTCCGATGACTTGGTCGATGTGGATTTCGAACAGTCTTCGTTTCCAGGATTATCTGACTATCGTCTTCACGCTACTGTACTTACTCCGTCACTGTCAATCCTCTTTCCAGGCCCCAGCTGTCAGACTCTATCCTTCGACCAGGTTCGAATACGAAATTCCTTCCTGGTCTTCCACTTTCAATGTCAACTGGAGAGTCTGTTTAATCCTCTTCGATTCTTCGGTTCAACGATCGGTGTCCCAAGGAAGCAATTGGGCAATTGTCAGGTGTGCCCAATCGAGGATCTCGCGGAGGTAAACAACGACGGGTTGGCAATGAGGGATCACGGAGCAAGAAAAACCGCGCGTGGATCGGTGACAGGCGTCGTAACGACTGGCCAGGTTTTTTCGGTGTTACCCAGGTATATATACGAGCTGGTGTGTATAGACGCGCGATCCAGCTCGCTAGTGTCCCGCTAGGATTGACGTCGCGGCTTGTGGGAGGGGAGATAGAGGCCGTACTCCTAATAAGTTCTATCGGACGTGCTCGCGAAAAGACGGTCGTACGAGCGTGTTGTCCTTAGCATCGCGACGATCGCGCGTACACAGGGCCACTGGGACCTAAGACTCGGCCCCAACCGAACCGATCTTGTACCGTCTGCATTTCACCCGTTCCCTTTCACCTTCCATCTGTCTCCCTCCGTCCCGGCGTGCTTCCTCTCTTCGCTAACCGTCAACCATTCCCTACCACTCGATCTACCCTCTCCAAAGTCAGTGATCCCCTGAACTCTTTTCCCTGGACGATGGTCTTTTTCATCCTGTCACCTCTTTCCCGGCCAGCCTCGCGGTTTCGAGCGTTGCGTAAGTGGCGCAAGCGGATGAATCACGGCTCCATCGGGCTGATACAGTTTTCCATGGGAGAACGTTGAAGAATTTGGCTCGCGAGGACTGCTCGAAAGGCCTGGACAGGCCGGGGCTCGCGCGAGGAACGTCGTGGCTGGGGGAAAGGTTTGAAAGAACTGCTAGCACTTGGAGGAGCAGTTTGTTCTTGCTGAAATGAAGTGTTGGAGAAATATTAATGGCGTCACTAATTAATAACATTTTTCCTAGTGTATTTGCAGAGTTATACTATTATGACATGTAATACCTAAACTACCAATCCTTCGTTGCTTTCCTAATTATAACATGCTCAGGCAATAATAATTTAGATAACCATCATTTAATTCGTGCTATAAATTTTGTATAGTTTAGCATATACTGTATTAATTTTATTATAAATACCTTTTATTACTTTATATTACTCTACTACTATACTACTATACCACTATACCACTATACCACTATACCACTATACCACTATACCACTATACCACTATACCACTATGCTACTATACTACTATACTACTATACTACTATACTACTATACTACTATACTACTATGCTACTATGTTTTACTTTATTGTAAATATGTAGTATTATACTATGTAATAATGTAATAAAAAATATATAATATAGTTGACAGAATTGTTTACATAATAGTACATTGTACGAATATTTACATTGTAATATTTCAATATATAATTAAAACATTGTAAATTTATACTCCCAGATTTAATTGTAAATTTATACTCTCATTTCATGGTTCTTCGATCATAATACCATTGCTGTTACCGCAATACGTCAATTTACATTCAAAGGCGCAATCGAATTCAACCATTTTTGATAATCAATAATTAAATATGCGCGTTGATTAATGGTTCAGGATATTTTATCTCATTTTTTCGGTACAATGAATTCATTTTCTTCTTGACTGTGCAACTTAAATATCGGTACTATAACTGCCACACATATCAGATGATCTTCCGTTACTAATCGATCAATAGTCGATCCCTTTCGACAGATATTCGTGTCTGATGCAGATACACGAATTTCGCAAACGTGCACAATGGATACGATACCTTATGAAGTGAGTAAGCTGTTTTATCCAATGCACGTGCAATTTTATTGACACGTACTTCAAGCTCTGATTATTAAATACGAATGTGCACAATAAAGAAAGTAAACGCGTTTTCTGTTATCGATACTACTTCGTAGAAAGGGCACTAATAATTTTCTCATTCGACGAGACTATAATCTCAATCTGGAATGTCGAAGAGAGATAAGTGATGGTACTACGAGGCAGGTGTGTTGTGTGATTCCATTCAAACGTGTCAGATTAAATTTTAACACGCAAGAAAGTAAATTAACGGAAAGGTCAGTTAAGTCTTCTGCAATCACTGGCAATTCTGTAAGGAAAATTATTAACAATCCCTCTACTTGCTAAGATTATAATCGTCACTTGGAATGCTAGAGAAGGTGAGGAATGGAATTGCAGAGTATGTGTACAGCATGATGGCATTGATATATCCTGATTTCAGCTGTTACAAGAAGACAATTAAATTAACTAAACAATCACTCGTGTCTTCTGCAATTAACGTTAAATCTACATAAAAATTATTAACAATCTTTGTACTCTGTGAGATTAATTATAACTTGGAACGTTGAGAAATATGAGTAATAGAATCATAAAACCCGTGTGTCGTATGTCCGTATTCGAAAAATTAATTAACAAAACGATTAGTCATGTCTGTGCAATTAACTCTTTGTCAGACATTAAAATAGACCCATGTTGCACAGAAATTTTATTGCGTTTTAAATGCAACAAAATTGGAATATTTTTACTAATAAGGGAATCACGTAATGCAAAAACATAAAACCAGGAAAAAAAGATTGTCGCAATAAATCTTCAGCTTGCAACAATTGACGAACCTGTACTGGCATGTTGAATGTTGCCAACACGAGCGAATACATTTATAACATTCGTCGAAGGTATTACCAACTGCTTTACGTAAATAAGACGAAATATAAACCTATGCGCGTGCAGCTATTGCAATATTTCCAGGTGGGACTAAAAATGTCCCGCCATGCATCACGGTGCATCGAAAAGGTGGGACACTTTAATCCCAGCGTGCCCCAAAGAGTTAAATGCTTAAGTATAAAATCGGGAATAATTATCAGTGTCATCGTGCATTTATAAATATCGTTTATTACCAATCTTCCTTATTCCTTCATTTTTATTTCCTATCCTTATTCCTTATTCGATAATTCCTTAATCGTTTCGCGGATTCGCAAAATTCTTACGTCACGCGAAAAATGGCGGAAAGAGGGGTATCGCGGGGCGACTATTAGCGCCGGTATTTATGGATGATAGTTCTCCTAGTCAGGCAAAAATCATATTTCGAGGTGGGACTAAAAATGTCCACCATGCATCACGGTGCATCGAAAAGGTGGGACACTTTTGATCCCAGCGTGCCCCAAAGAGTCAACGACGATTTCAAATCTGGTAAAAATTAATAATAAAAAACAATCTTATAAGATAGTGGGATTATAGTCGTAATCCAGGATATCGAAGAAATATGTGAGTAATGGAACTACACGACATATGTCTTTCGCGTATGTGTTAGTATAAGTTCCATTAAGCGATCAGTATTTTGCTGGATTAATAACGATTCCGTATAAAAGGTATTACTCAGTAGCAATTCCAGTTAAAACACGTTAAAGTGAAATTATAATTGTAACCTGGAACGTTTGAGTAGAAAGAGGGTAATGGAACTACGGAGCATGTAAGTTAATGCATTTTTGCAGGTCGTACGTTTAATTTCTGCGTTTAAACGGAGGAATGGTAACGAGTGCCTCATTTAAACGCGAATATATAATTCCTGGTACTTTCTGATACAAACATTCGAATTACTTTTTTATAAATACAGCGAACATTGTATACAAGAATTTTGTTTCGTGAACACTATGCAAGTCGAGGTTTGTCTTTTGCAAAATTTACAAATTTTTTACGAAGGAAATAAAAGTCGAGAATTATGCTCCTTTGGAGAAGAAAGCGCTAATGGATCAAGTTGAAAAAATCTACAAAATTGTTTTCGACCGAGGAACCAGATGTTCAATAAAGATATTTAGCAAGAGTGCACTCTAATTATTAGTTTAAATATTCAAATTCGCGTTTTGCGGATTGCTTAATTATTCATAGCGAGACGATAAATCGCATAAATCACGTCCCGCAATAACAATGATGCATGGTTGTTTATGGTTTCTCTCGACGGCCAGACTTATTTGCATAAGAGCTAATGCTTCCAGGATTTAAAGGCATTTTCTTCCCCGATGACGTAATTAGTACCATCGATTTCTATGAACAAAGAGAATACAAAGGAATAACATCGCGATTTTAATTGACGTCATTTGTCGTCAAACAGTACTTCAAGCAAGATTTCATTCGAACACTCATCGTAGTATCCTTATTTCCAGCTTTTAATTTGCATAATTTTCCTATGATGTACAGGATGAGGTGTTATTCGAAGGTTAACACGGTATAAGAACGAGAAAATAGATATAGGAAAATAAATTATAACGCGGAATGAATTTTCGAGAGATACAGATTTATTAAATTGCAAACTTCGTTCGCGCTCCCTTTACGTTTCGATACAGAAGAAACGGAGAAAACTGGTTCCAGTCTCACTAATTAACTCCGATAATCAGCATCCTTTCTCTTTCTCGCCACCGTACTCTCTGATGATGGACAATATGCTCTCGATTGCTCCGAAAATCTGACCAAAAACAAAAATTGCAAATGTTATTACACATAAAAGAGAAATATATTCATTCATTTATTTATTTATTTATTTATAAAAATTGAAATATAATGTATTTTTTAAGGGTACGAGGAATAATATTTTTATTTCAATTTATAACGAAACAATTTTCTCCTTAGAAAATTAATATGAATATTCATATCTGGAAACTTATTTTTTTCTGTTCATATGTGCATATAAAAAGCAATATTTTTCTTCAAATCTGTAATGAAGTTTTTGTATGAAAAGTAATATCTCATAGTTCAATGTCTAGGAAATTATACCATTTAATTTTAATTTTTTTGATTATTTATTTATAAAAATTTAAATATAATGTATTTTTTAAGGCTATAGAGTATAATATTTCTATTTCAATTTGTAACGAAATAATTTTCTCCTTAGAAAATTAATACGAATATTCTTATCTGGAAATTAGTTTCTTTTTGTTCATATGTGCATATAAAAAGCAATATTTTTCATGGAATCTGTAATGCAATTTTTGTATGAAAAATAATATTTCATAGCTCAATGTCTATGAAATTATACCATTTATTATTAATTCTAGATTATTCATTTTGTCTATTTATTTATTCATAAAAATTGAAATATAATGTACTTTTTAGAGGTATAAGGAATAATGTTTTTATTTCAATTTGTAACGAAATAATTTTCTTCATAGAAAATTGATACGAATATTCTTATCTGGAAACTTGTTTCTTTCTGTTCACATATGCATACAAAAAGTAATATTTTTCTTGGAATCTGTAATTAAATTTTTATATGAAAAATAATATTTCGTAGCTCAATGTCTACGAAATTATACCATTTAGTTTTAATTCTAGATTTAATATGCACACTCTCATTTAAAATCCATTTCTTCATTTTCTTCACAGATTTCATTTCACATATTTCCTTCTATATTAATATACGTACAATAAAATATTTTTCTAACATAATACACGATAATTTAACATTCTCAATTCTCATCTAGAATTATATTATTAAAATGAATTTATTTCATCATATAAATGTCAGCATTTAAATCGATTTAAAATTCATTTCTATTTTCCACAGACATAAATAAATAATAAGTATAATATTTTCCTCGCAC